GGGAGGGAGGAGGAGGAGGAGGAGGAGGAGGAGGAGGAGGAGGAAGAGGAGGAGGAGGAGGAGGAGGAATTGAACGATCACTGTGGGATCTTTGGCGCTTTCTAAGCTTGGCGGTTTTCTTTCAGGCATTTCATCACCCAACTAGGTAACATCCTCAGTGCTAGAAGGAAGGGCGGTTTGGGCAGAGAGGAGGAGGAGGAGGAGGGAAGAGAAACTCTGGCCATTTCGGACCCGTGAATCAGCCTGCCCAGATCACCCCACACTTCGAGGGGGCGCAGAGGGGGAAAGATACGAAGAGAAAGCAGATCGACAACAATGCATATTTTACGCCAGGGCTGCTTTTGCAAGATGGACGGCAGGGACGCAGGTGAGGCTGGCACCGACCTACCAACTCCAGCCGGCCGGGCAGGAGGATCCGAACCAGCTGAAAGCAAAGGTGAGTCTTGTTTTATGTCTTGTTTTAATCCACCCGAGGGAAAAAAAAAAAGCGGGAGGATTAAACCCAGCTGACAGATTTCAGCAAGGCGTAAAAACAGCCAACCTTCCCCAGGGCCGGCGAGAAACTGACAGCTGATCAATAAGGAAATTACGGAGCTTTCAAATTCTGCTTTTGGTCTCGGGACCCGCCTTCCAGGCGCCGCATTTCTGAAAGCCCGTGAAGGTTAAGTATTTCGGGGGGCTCCGCGGGAATGCGGGGAAGCTTCCTCCGCCTTCCCGGGTTTACAACAAGCAGGAAATTAAAATTGATTTTAAATTAATTAAAAGCACCTGGAAACAAAGTGGGAGCGAAACCCTTCCCTGGACAGAACCTCGGAGGGAAAGAGGGGGAAGACAGGCACGAAAACTTATTTTTTGTAGATCTCAAAAGCCCCTTTTAACCAGGTAGTCAAAGATTACAGATTAATAGAGTCGGAAGGGACCTTGTAGGTCATCTAGTCCAACCCCTCCAACCCAAGCAAACTCTACACCATTTTTGACCAAAGGCAATCCAGTCTCTTCTTGAACTCAAGAGTAACAGACACACACAAAAAATGTGACTTAAAACCACAACCGAGCCCGAAAATTTCCGTCGCTTAAGTGAGACCTTGGCTAAGTGAGTTTTGCCCCCGCTTTAAGACCTCTCTCGCCCCCAGTTATTAAGTGAATCACTGCCAGTGTTAAGGTTGTTCAACAAACCTGGTGATTTTGCTCATCAGAAAGTCGGCAAAGGTGACGCGCACACACACACACACCCCAGGGACACTGCAACTGTCATAAATGCCAATCAAGTGTCCTGAATTTTGAACAAGTGATCACGGAAGTGCTGCAACGGCCGTTAAGTGTGAAAAATGGTCCAAAGTCCCTTTTTTTTTCCTGTGGACTTGTAACTTCGGTCACTAAACAAACTGTTGTAACTCAAGGAGTAGCTGTAATATGTTTTTGGGAGGGGCGGGGTGGAGGCAGTATTTCTTAAACAAACTTAAGTGGAGTGGAATGGATTGTATTCCGTCCACACTTCTCAACTGCTTCTGTGTTGTGGTTCGCTGGCAGCAGGTGCAGACGGCTGAGGTCTCGGAAAGCGAGGACTCAGATGAGGGGCCTGCGTGTGATGCAGGGATGGGGCCAGGACCATCAGGGAGTGGAGTGCTGCCTTCAGAGGTTATGGAGGCTGGCAGCAGTGAGGAAGAGTTCCCCGAGGAGCCTGTGCTCAGTGCGCGTGCGCGCAGGGCTGCTCGAAGGAAAGGGCAGCTGCAGCAGCACAGGCGACTCGGGAGTAAGGCTGCAAGGTGATGGCCCCTCCCTTAAGGGATAAAAGCCAGCTGAGAAACTGGAGTTCTTTGCAGGAAGCAAAGAAGTTTTTGCATTCAAGCCTTGTGCACATTCGGACTATCTTAGTTTGTGTTTGGAGACTTTTTGTGTTTGAAATATTTCTTGGCAATTTTATCTAGTGCTCTTGGCAGCCTTGCACCACCTTCGCAAGGCTCGTTCTTATCAGAGACACTTAATTTGAAACCGCCTTTTAACCGGGAAGGAACGGAATTCGTAAAGAATCATTAAAAGGTTTTGCTGTTACCTCTGCTTCGTGTTGGTTTCCTTGGAACAAGGTTTGGGATCAGAACATTCTAGAAGAAACTTAATAGAGCTGTGGCTCAGTGGGTAGTCCTTAACTTACAAAAGGCTGCTTAGTGACCGTTCAAATTTATGACGGAGTAGAATTCCACTTATTTTCAAATCTCTAGGTTCCCTGGGAGAATTGTTGCCAATCGTGTCGATAATCCTTTGGCTGATGGACTACACGAGAAAAGTTAAAATTCCAAATCGGTTTGTTTTTAAACACATCTCACCATCAGCAGGGGTGGGGCTGCCGGGGGTTCGCAGGGGTTCAAGAGAGCCCCCCCACCAAATTCCACTCCTGTCTGGCTCCGCCTACGCTGCCCCTCCCCTCCCAGAAGTCCCCACGTGGCCCATTTTGGAGGCACGCGCCTCCCGGAAGTTCAGGAAGGCCAGAAACGGGCCGGTTTCTGGCTTCCAGAGAGCCTCCGGAGCCCGGGGAGGCCGTTTTAATCCTCCCGGAGGCTCAAAGAAAGCCTCAGGAGCCCAGCAGGAGGCCAACTAGGCCACGCCCACCCTGGCCACATCCACCCAGCCACCAGGCAGGGAACTAACATTGCTAACAACGAGCCCACCCTTGGCAATAAGCAGTATATGACCCTGATGGAACATCCGAATTTTGGAACAATCGGCGTCCACGTAAATCTCGCGCACCTTGAGGTAGGGAAACTCCAGGTAGAAAAGGACGCTCACCGTTGATTCTGGCATAGACCGCCACTGTCCCGTTCTGCAGGCCGGCGAAGAGGTAATCAGCATTGTGCTTCAGGCAGAGGACGGGGTGGGCTCCAGGCGTCTGGCTGGTCAGCAAACACTGGGCCCCTGTGTCCAGGCTGCTGTAGGCCAAGATGCTGCAGTGGGGGACAAAGCGACACTCCCCTCAAAAACCTATCATGAACCAAAGGGCCATTTCCTTGCACTGAAAGTGCACCCCCCAGTGGTTGACAAAGGAACTGCTGGAGTAGCTTCATCCCTTTTCTCTTGAATAAGGAGTAGGCAACCCACGACTCTGGAGCCGCATGCGGCTCTTTCACCCCTCTGCTGTGGCTCCGTCGTTCAAAATAGGCAGCACAACTGTGTGATACCTGCCAGCAGGTGATTTATTGAGCTTTTCAACCATGGACGAATCCAAGAAAAGAAAAGTTTTCTAAGAAAACAGAACAGTCTAATGATACATGAGCAGGTTCATTTGCTTTTACTGCCGACGAGACTGGTTTACCCGTATGCTTAATATGTGGTGAGAGGTTGAATACATGCAGTGTTATCTTCCTTTTAGATGTCCAAAAGGGTTTTGTGCCTCCCGGTGTTTTCTTTTCTGTGGGAAACAGGTCCAAATGGCTCTTTGAGTGTTTAAGACATTAATGTCTTGAATTAAGACCATTTGGGACCACTCCACTGAACATGTGCAGAGTGCTTTCCCCCATAGAAAAGTAGAAAAATAGGGACCCCTTTGGTAGGAAGGGAACAGCGACGTTCCGTGCGCCTTGGGCATTTAGTCCTGTCGGCCACATGACCACGGAGACGTCTTCGGACAGCGCTGGCTCTTCGGCTTTGTAACGGAGAAGAGCACCGCTCCCTAGAGCCAGGAACAACTAGCACGTATGTGCGAGAGGAACCTGAGGAGAGCGAGGACTCAGATGAGGGGTCAGGACCATTAGGGAGTGGACTGCTGCCTTCAGAGATTGTTGGGGACTGGCAGCAGCGATGAGGGGGTTCCCGAGGAGCTTGTGCCAAGTGCGTGTGCGCACAGGGTTGCTCGCAGGAAAGAGCAGCTGCAGCAGCATGGGCGACTCAGGAGTAAGGCTGCAAGGTAATGGCCCCTCCTTCAAGAAGATAAAAAGCAGCTGTGCAGTGAAAGTTCTTTGCAGGAAGCAAAGACGTTTTGAAACTCAGCCTCGTGGGCATTACAGTTGGTATTTGAAGAGTCTTGTGTTGTAAACTATTTCTTATCTGTTGTTTTTTGGCAAGTCTCACACAGTTTGGCAAGGCTTGTGCTTATCACAGCTAATTATTTTGCAGAAGCATTACAAGGTTTTTGTTCCTTTTGGACTGTGTTTGATTTGTCGGCAAAGGCTCTGGGTCAGAACAGGCATTCGACTGACCAGCCCAAAGAAGGGTTAAACAGACCATGGCACGATAGGGTGACCTGCACAGACTTCCCAACTCTCCAAGCCCCTCCCCCCAATTATTTCCAGGACCCCGATCTCTTTCTCACCTGCCGTCTTTCAGGCCGAGGCAGAGGGCAGGCTGAGATGGAAAGGACTGGTCAGCCGTGGTTGGAGACTCTTCCACTCGTTCCTCTTCGGCCTTTTCAGGGATGTACTCCAAGCAGAGGACCTGCGAGGCCACAGGGAAGGATCTGACCGTACGAGGCACTGACCGGTTCAGGGAAAATATCTCCACCTGGCCCCCAGCACCCTCCTGACCTCCTCCGACCTAGAGGAACCAAAAAGAGGCGGTCTTTTACGCCGTACTACAATTTCATCACCTGGTTGACCAGGGCGGTTGAGTGAATCGTAAGGTCGTGAAGTGAATCGCAAGGTTGTCCTATGAATCATAAGGCCGTTAGGTTAATCACAAGATCATTAGGCAAATCGCAAATTTGTTAAGTGAATCACAAGTTTGTTAAGTGAATCACAAGTTTGTTAAGTGAATCACTAGATTGCTAAGTGAATCACAAGGCTGTTATGTTAATCATAAGATCGTTAGGTGAATCACAAGGTTGTTAAGTGAATCACAAGGTTGTTGAGTGAATCACAAGGTTGTTTCTAGAGTCTCAACCTCTTTTTTTATAGTTTGGTGACCAAAACTGGATGCAGAATTCCAGGTGTGGCCTTACTAAGGCTTTATAGAGTGATATTAGAACCTCCCTTGATCTTGATTGTAATAGAGGCTGTTTTTACATAAACTCACCCAAAGATACCCCTGTGGCAGAGAAGTGCTGATGGCCGAAAATCCCAGCAAGGAAGACTGGACTGGGCTGTGCACGGCCGCCCCGAGCTGAAAGCAGGAACCCATCCAGAAGGGGGGAGAGAGAGAAAAAAAAGAGAGAGAGAAAAACCGACTGGAGAGTTATTTTACAACTCTTTGAAACAGACTTCGGCGAAGGGACGTGAAAAAAAAAAAGGCCCCGCTTTCTAAAACGATATCTTCACTATCGGTCTCCGAAAACAAAAGGAAAGGAATTGTTAAGAACAGCTAAAAATACATCTGGGAAACAACAGAATCAATCAATGGAAACACTCAATTAAGGCAGAGCCACCAGAGAAAGGGGTTGAGGGAAGCAGTAGGAACAAGCGGGCTAAAATTAGTCTCGGGTAAACCAAATGGGCCCCGACTGCAGATGTTCTCAAAGAAAGAGAATGAGAGGGCATAAAAGTCTGGGTTGGTTTTTTTTTTTTTTTGAAGGTAATTATGTGCCTCCTTTCTCTTTTCTCCTTTCTCCAGCTGAGACTATTTTTCTTCCACCTCGCCAGAAGACAGAAGTGGAGAGAAAAAGGAACCCATTAGCAAGGCTAGGTGAGATCTTGCACTCTCGAATTGAAAGTGTCCCTTCCTTCTTCCTCCTCTCCATCTTTCTTCTTCCCTTCTTTCTCCTTCCTTCCTTCCTTCTTTTTAGGTTCTTCTTCCTTCGTTCCCTTCCATTTTCTTCATTCCTTCTACTTCCCTTCTTTCCCTCCCTTTCCCCTCCATCTTTCTGCTTCCTTCCTTTTCCTACTTTCCCCTTCCTTTCATCCTTCCTCCCTCCCCCCCCTCTGATCTTCCTTCCTTTTCCTGGTCATAAGTAGCTTGGGCGGGGGTGGGGGTTGTCTGCTGTAACTTCAGCTAAGTGACCAGTCAAAAGTTGAGGGCTATCTGTAACGGCATAGAAGAAGTTGCAAGTCCTTGAAGAGATGGTCAGAAGTTGGCCATCTTGGGTGGGTCTCCTTACCTGCAGGTCGAGGGCTCTGGAGGAGAAGGCAGGGATATGACAGACCAAAATGGGACACCAGAAAGCAGCCTTGCTCTTCTTGTCTTCTTCAGGGCAGACCCATCCAGGCTGGTTTTCTTCCCCTGCAGGGGTGGGGAGAGAAGAGCTGAAAAATCCCCTCTCCAAATGGATCCTATGACCTTGGCCAACAGTCAACTTTTAATCAGCAGTCAACCTTAGTCAACAGTCAACTTTGGCCAACAATCAACCTTGGTCAACAGTCAACCTTGGTCAACAGTTAACTTTGATCAATTGTCAACCTGGATCAACAGACCAGCAGTCAATCTTGGCCAACAGTCAACTTTAACCAACATCAACCTTGGTTAACTGTCAACCTTGGTTAACAGTCAACCTTGGTCAACAGTCAATCTTGACCAGTAGTCAATCTTGGCCAACAGTCAACTTTGACCAACAGTCAACCTTGGTCAACAGTCAACCTTGGACAAGTCAACCTTGGCCAACAGTTAACCTTCATTAACAGTCAACTTTGATCAATTATCAACCTTGGCCAACTGCCTATCTGTGAAGCAAAGCAGAATGAGAATGCCGTTCCCAGAAGCCTGGAAAAGCCATCTGGGTTGTACTGGCCATGGATAAAAATGATAAATTTTCTGACTGCCCCCTCCTCAAATGCACAGAAGGGTCTGCAGACAGTCCAGCACCCCAGAGCCACAGCTTGCCGACTTTAGAAACACCCCATAATGTAGATTTCCCCTTGCAAAGGAAAGTGAATGATTTTATCGATTGGGGTTTCTAGGATTCCTTCAATGAAGGTTGACACGCGATCTTTAGAAGTACGGACACACTCAGTAACTAAAAAGAAGATGGAGAAGGGAAGGAATTGATCATCTCCTGCAGCTAAAAAAGTCTGTAAAGTTTTATTGATTATTTTTATTTATCAATCAGATTGATATGACCGACCGTCTCTGCAATTTTTCATCCATTTCTGAAAAGTCTCTCTCTTGTAAAAAGGCGGTATTTTTATACGATCTAGATATAAGTAGGAGGAAGGACTGAACCAGTGTTACATTTAGCAGCATACTGGAGTTTTTTTTTTCCTTTCTAAATTATCATTCCCCACCACCATCACTTAATTTTCATTTTAATGCAGGGTCTCTTAGCTTGGCAACATTTAAGTTGCAGGAGCTTCAATTTTCAGAACTCTTAAAAGTTGCTGAGATTGGAGATGGTGAGAAACCAAAGCTTTAATGTATGTAGCTCCTTATCGTATTATCATTAATGCATTATTCTTTTATTTGCTACACTTCATTAATAAACATTTAAGCAGGCTGCATCGCTCTTCCCTTGTTTATTTGCCACGCTTCATTAGTAAAATTTAAAACGGATGAAGCAATTTCAGCCTCTCTTCACTTAAAGTTATCTCATTAGGGCGGACAGGCAGGACGGCATAACAGTATCCAGAGAGACCCCTAAAAGTCACAAACTTTTATCGATTTCCTTATGGAATATTCGGGGTGAGGCGGAAGTCCCCTCACCCATGGAGAGATAAGCAATTAATTTCTCCTCTCCATCACGTGCCTTGGGAGTGGCAGCTCAGCATTTTAATTACAGAAAATATTAAAACATAAGCCATAAAAAAAAACAGCTTATACTGAATATTTTAGCAGGGGGGCTCCTGATAATCATGTTAACAGCTTTTTCCAAAGCTTCTGCAGGGACAGTCCTCGACTTGCGACCACAGTTGGGACCAGGATTTCCGTCGTTAAGCAGTGTGGCTGTTGAGCCAGTTGCAACCGATTTTATTAATACTTTTGCCCAGGTTGTTAAGCAAATCATTGCCATTCCTTCATTCATTCATTCTCCACTCATCACTGGAGGTTTTTTAGAAGTTTCTCTGAAATAGAATAGGTTCTCCTGCCTGAGCAGGGGGCTGGACTAGAAGACCTCTAGGGTCCCTTCCAACTATACTAGTCTAGTCTCCATTCCATTCCATTCTAGACTTATTTCTATTCTATTCTCATTTCAATTCTATTTTTATTTCTATTCTATTCTATTCTTATTTCGATTCTATTCTAATTTCGATTCTAGTCTTATTTCAATTCTTATTTCTATTCTATTCTGTTCTGTTATGTTCTATTCTATTCTAGTCTCCATTCCATACTTATTTCTATTCTATACTTATTTCGATTCTAGTCTAGACTTATTTCTATTCTATTCTTATTTCAATTCTATTTTTATTTCTATTCTATTCTATTCTTATTTCGATTCTAGTCTTATTTCGATTCTAGTCTTATTTCAATTCTTATTTCTATTCTATTCTGTTCTGTTCTATTCTATTCTAGTCTCCATTCCATTCCATTCTATACTTATTTCTATTCTAGAATTATTTCTATTCTAGTCTAGACTTATTTCTATTCTATTCTTATTTTAATTCTATTTTTATTTCTATTCTGTTCTTATTTCTAGTCTATTCTTATTTCGATTCTAGTCTTATTTCAATTTTTATTTTTATCTATTCCGTTCTGTTCTATTCTGTTCTAGTCTCTATTCCATTCCATTCTATACTTATTTCTATTCTAGACTTATTTCTATTCTATTCTTATTTTGATTCTTATTTCTATTCTATTCTTATTTCTATTCTATTCTTATTTCAGTTCTATTCTATTCTTATTTCTAGTCTATTCTTATTTCAATTCAATTCTATTCTTATTTCTAGTCTATTCTTATTTCAATCCTATTCTATTCTTACTTCTATTCTATTCTATTCTTATTTCTATTCTATTCTGTTCTATTCTATTCATTCAATTTTATGCTGCCCATCTCACCAAAGGCAACACTAGGCAGCTTAAAAACATAGTTTGATTCAGTTGTCAAAGTGAATCAGGCAGTTCGTAAACAATTCCAAGCATCCTGTCTCCGCTTCTCAGAAGCTGCCATTTCTGATACTGCAACCATCGTAAGTACATGTCAGTGGCCCAAGCACCTGAATTTTGATCACATGACCGTGGGGGGGTGCTGCTGCTGCAGGGTTGTAAGTGCGAGGACTGTCGTAAGTCACTTTATGAAAATCCCTCGCCCTTTTATCACGTGAGTCCCGGTGACCGGCTCAGATTGGATCCTGCCCCGAGTCACTTTTTTTTCCCCCCAAGGCAACTGTAACTCTGCCACTAAACGAATGGTTATAAGTCAAGGACGGACCCTACGCCGTTATGAAGAAGCAACGAATCAAGGAACGACGACGCGAAGGCGTTTTTACTCACAGAGGGCAATTTTGGCCAAGTGCAAATGATTCACCCAGGAAATTTTGCTGAGTGGGTTTGGTGTGATGAACACCACCATGACGCTGACGGGGCGACCAGACCTGTCAAAATAAATAAGTAAATAAATACATAAACATATAATATATAAAAAATAAATAAATCCCAGGAGATAAAGAGGCCATCAGTTTAAAGAGGCCATCTATATCAAAACTGAACAGCCCTCTTTCAACCGAGGTAGAAGGATCCGGCATCCGCTATCTCCAGTCTACAACACGGTCCTTTCAACCGTTCCAAGAAGGCTCCACACCC